AATTTTTGAGGGCCATTAGGTTATCAGTTTTAATACTGTCAAATGTTACCCTCATAAAATAAAGTCTTACCTACCCTACCTACCTATCCTCTGTTGTGATAAATTAATAATGTTTTGGAAATACCCAAGCAAGTAAAAACTAATGATACAATGTTCCAACGTTTCGGTGACCTCGTGATGCCATTATCAAGGAATGAATAAATAAGAGAGAGATCAAGAGAGTTAAGACCTGTAGATCTACATAAATGAAGTTAAGTTAAACAAAGACTTAAGCGCTGATTGAATCCGTTGGTACATTCAAACATGGTCTTAAATGTTTGATGTACAGCATTTCGTTAATTACACCTGCATTCAGTGTTATGTGCATAGGTGACATCTTTTGACATGCCATCTCTCGACATGCTATTTAAACTGGCCTACATCAAAAATGTAGGCACAACAGACTTCTTTATGTCCAACTTGACTTTTAGTCATGAAAGATGGATTTATTAATTTTGACATCAGAATAAGGTTAGGAGCATCAATAAGTCACTCTGTGAGATAAATTGGCTGTTTTGAATGTTTACATCTTTCAAATATTAAAAGCGGTAGTGGCCCAATTCTACCAGATGTCACTATTGAGAGCCGAACAACTACACTCAAATTGTTTGAATTATCCCGTAAGTTGGGAAACATGCTAAATCCACAATCTTCTACAGCCATTTGAGGTCAGTAAGTATGGTTTATTTGTCATTTCTTCCGCTAATAACAATTGCCAGTTTCATAGTCAAATAGCCTTTCAGCCGTTTACATAGCATATCAAGAGATGGCATGTCAAAAAGGGTTCAAAGGTGTCACCTATGCACGTAACACTGAAAGTGGGTGTAAACAGTCAAATTTATTCCTGCTTTTTTTTTTCGACACTTTGAAGCAACTAAGGAGGTCCTCAATGCTCAGGGACTGCGCCCGTGTGGTCTTTATCGTAATGTTTACGCACAGAAGATGACATGCTCTTATGGCCAACCAAACATGCATGCAGATGTCCACAAGTATAACCAAGTTACATAGCTACTTGTATTGCCCAGGTTACATTGAAAATTGTAAACTACTCACTGTTGATTAACTATCTGTGGTTTAGTCTCACTTTCTTGGAGGTCCAGGCTAGGGTCTGTGTCGGATTATGCTTGTTAAATAGAGTATTATGCTTTCAGGCATCACCCGTGAAACCGGGGTATTATGCTCAAAATTAAGCTTGGTTGGAGGTATAATGCTCAAATATTATGCTGGACTGAAATGACATTTCCACCTCACCCCCCATAGGCCCATACCTATGGGGGTGGTTCCATTGGCTGTACCCTAGTCTTTCATTTTTGAAAGAAATGTTACACAATAATTATTCAGTTAAACATTTGATGAGCCAAAGTTGTTAAAAACTAACAGCATCGAAAAGTAAGTTACAAACTACAAAGTTTCTCTTGACATATTGTTTTATGGGATTATAGCACTTACATGTACCTTGGAAGCTTGGAGTCCTAAAGTGATGACGTCACAAAAATAAAATTTTTGAAATTATGGGATATGATGTCATATCCTTATAGAGGATCCTAAAAAATGCCCTCATCCCAAAAATTAGCTCTGAATTGCAATTCCCGATAGAGATATAAGGGATCAAAGTTTGATAGCATCCCATACAAACCCTTCAAAATTTGTGTCAGTTCCTTCAGTTTAGAACTGACTCAAAATTAGAGAGATTTATATGGGGCAGTACCAAATTTTCAGCCTTTATATTTCGGCTGGGAATTACAATTAAGAGGTAATTTTTGGCAAAGACCCTTTTTTAAGGATGCTCTATTCGAAAATGGCACCAAATCCCATAATTTTGCAAATTTATTTTATTGTGACGTCACACTTTGGGACTCTATGGTGGAGTTGATGAAGTGTAGAGGGTACTTAAGGCGTGAAAACACAGCCTTCAAGACGAGGATAAATGGTATGCACGATCAAGCATAGTTGTTAATAAGCTTTGTTTGTACCAATTGTCAACATGACTCTGGTAATGGAGAAGTAAGCTGGTATTAGTAGGCTTCACGTAAACCCTAGTCTCAATTTGGGGCACCAAGAAAGGGGATCATCCCATCCTTTTAGATCTCCATGTTAAAGTTGACAGCAAGGTGGGGGTGGTTGAGGGTATAGTAAGTCCAGAGCTGTAATAATATCAGGCATTACCTTGAGAGTATCGTCAACAAATCTGCGGTAATAAGGAGGCAACTTGCCTTCCAGCTCTAGTTTTTCTTCCAATGATGACATGAACATGTTAGCTAGCAATGGCCCAAGGGGGGACCCCAAAGCCACTCCATCGATTTGCTCATGGAGGGCACCATTGAACTGGAACGGTTGATCTTTCGTAGCCATACCCAAGAGGTTAACAAGGTCCTCTCTTCATATATATTTAGATTGTATGCAGAGTTAAACCAGTTGTCCCTGAAGGCTTTCTCGATAAGGATCACAATGGTTTCATCTAAGGGTACATTGGTAAATTTAGATGACACATCATACGATACCAAAATATTACCATCACTGATTCTAAGATCTTGCACTTCATTGATGAAATCAAAGATGTTAGTAACAGCATGATGATTCAAAGACAACGGTTTGAGCTTGTTGCCGAGCGACTTAGCCAGGGCATAGTTATAAGTGCTCATTGCTAATAGAATAGGATGCATAGCTAACTTCTTCTTGTGGGTTTTTGGTAAGCTGTACAGGTGTGCTAATCTAATAGGGGAAGAGTTTGGTCATTAATGAGAGTCGTACATGGGTATTCTCGATGATGCACTGATTTTTTCTCCATGAAACATGAATTTGACTGTTTAATTAACAAAATGCTGTACATCAAGTCAAACAATTGACCACGTTTGCATGTACAAAGAGATTCAAAGATTCGATCCATGCCAAAGTCTTTGTTTCACTCAACTTCACTTATGTAAATCTACAGGTAATTCTTTTGAACTCACCTCTTATTTATTCATTCCTTGATAATGGCGTCATGAGGTCATCAAAAGGTCGGAACATTGTATCGTTAGTTTTTAGTTCTAATAAATGCACAAATAAATAAATAAATAAAATGTTGATTTTATTCTGATATATAGATATTTATTTCCTTTTATGGTATAGCAACTGAAAAACAACCAAACAACTATTTTCCTTGGCAAAATTGCCATAAGTCCAAAATAAATGACACTTTGCTTGTTTTTTTTTTGATCTATAATAGTTGTTATTAATTAGTAATAAAGTAAAGATGCAAAAATTGAAATAGCGTACTGGAAGGAGTAGCATATATTGACCGTCTAATACATGTAGGGGAAGAGTTTGGTTATTAATGAGAGTCTTACAGAGGTGTTCTTGTAATGCGCTGATTTTTTTTTCCATGAAACATGAATTTAAGAAATTATTCTTCCTGGTTCGTGACTTGAAGGTTTTGCGTGGTCCTTGAAGAACTTGAACATTTACTGACCAATATATTTGTGATTTCACCACTCTATTCTACGTGATTTTGAGACATGAGGCCTCCGGAAGATTTATTAAAATTATAAAGACTGAAAACATCAAATGTGACCTCTGTGTAATTATCATAACTTATCATGTGGCTAGCTCTGCGAGCAGGCAAGATGAATCAAATCCTGCACTGTGATTGGCTACCCGAGTGGGCAAGATGGAGCTATCTTGCCCGCTCAGGACTACCCGCTGCGTCCTGCAAGAAAACTTTCCCCAAAAACCATATAATAAATCCTTTACTGACCAAGCTTGTTTGATCAAGATGGCTGGATATTGGCCTCGCTCTTTTTTTGTGAGTTTATGGACCTCGACTCCGTCTCAGTCCGTAAACACACAAAAAAGAACTTGGCCAGTATCCAGCCATCTTGACCCCACACTTGGTCAATAACCCATACATCTCGAAAGGCATCGGCTACTACCAAGTAACAGAAAGCTTTCCTTGATGTCCTTTGCTTAATTTTCAATAATGTTAGAAGACCTCATGCAGTAACACTCTTTTTAGCATAAGTTCAGGATATTAAAGAGAGTACCTTACTTGCTTATTTTTGTGATTCAAGAAAACGAAATTTTGATTTCTGTGATCCGTGATTTGTTATTTTTTCCATTCATGAACTGTGCCAGAGACCCCACTGTATGACCCTCATTAGTGGAATTGCTTTTACTAATTACACAATGTAAGTTAGAACTCCAATTTTCTTGACTCCCACTGTTTTTTGTTATCACTGTGGTTGCAATAATTATTATAACTTGTTACAAAGCTCCTTTTTTCTGTTATTGTACTTCAGATGCTTGCTGAGTCACTGTGTGCAATCCTTCTGTTAGAGGAGAGCTCACCTCGTCAGGTTTTTACTGAGTTCATCTTGTCAAGAAAGGCTACATTACAAGAGATATTTCATCCATGTCAACATGGTAAGGTCTTTCTACAAGAAAGTTGTTTCAAATATTATTTAAGAGTTCTGGGTTAGAGCCTTGGAGTGGAATGGCTCATAGCTGCCGGAGCTTATCCCGGCTTCTGTAGCATGAAGCGGCTAGGAGTGTTTCTACTGCCCCTGGATGGGATGCTAGTCCATTGCAGGTCACTCCCCCACAATTTGTTAGGTTTCGCCAACAATTCACCGGTACCCATTTATACTCCTGGGTGGAGAGAGGCACTGAGAGTTACGTGTCTTGCCCAAGAACACAACACAGCATTCCCGGCCAGGGCTCGAACCTGGACTGATCGCTCTGGGAACAAGTGCACTAACCATGAGGCCACCGCATCTCACTTTTTTGCTACAAGTCATTTTTCTTCTAGCATGAGAACAACTGCTAAAATTTAAACGTCTGTGGACTTTTTTGGGAAACAGGATGCTTTTTATTTTGCTTTGATGAATTTGACTAAAATCGTCAGCTCCACTCGAGTAACTCATCATGTAATTTGCATAAAAATTGCCAAAATCGTCAAATTCACCAACATGTTAGGCCCATCTCTAGCGATGTAATTTGCATAAAAATCGTCAGTTTGATGAAATTTCATCAAATCTGCCATTTTCATTAATGCCTGCATTTCTGGACATAAGTGTTCCCTTGTGGCTTTATCACCTTGTCATTATCACCTCTGCCCTTGATTCCTAAATTAAATTGAGCAATATCTGAATGGATCAAAATACAAAACAACATCTGTATGGTGTCACACGTGTGTTGGAGTATATAGTGTCAAAATAATTTTTTAATTTTTTAATGAACTGGTGAACATGTGCTTTGGAATCCTTCTGCAATAGAGGGCCAGACTGGTAACATCTCGAATTCATAAACAGGACTTGAGCACGATGCTCAACAAGTTTGCTATTAAATTCAGAAAGGTCTCTGAAGAGCCTCTTGGCCGAGATGAAATGCCGCATCAGACTTATGACAAACTATTTTTCCTCAAGCATTTGTCACATTTATTGTGGATGTTACTAAAACTGGTAACGGGTAATGGGGAACGGGGAACGGGGAACGGGAATCTGAGAACGAGTGTACAGCGGTAACCCACCTGAGAATTCAACATGGCAGACAAAGGAAAAGAAGAGGGAACAAATTGGGGAAACGCAAGGAAGTGATACGGTTGTAAACGCAAGTATCTACCCCAGACCATGTGCCTAGTACGTTCCTGTTAGAGCAGAATCCGATTGATACTCACGCATGTAATGGCACCTGGGTTGAAAATTGAATCGGTATTATCAAATGCCACCCCAATCGCTAAGGCCACAGTCATTCTTAAATAGAATTTCAAGCCTTCACAGTCTTGTCGTATCTTCTCACTCTGTGTGCAAGCTGTCATATCAATATTTAAAAACAGAAACACGCAATATGATATTGAGGACAAGTAACATAACACATGACCATCTTTGAACGTGAGTTGTCCACTGTCTTTGCATTTGGTAGCATGGCGGCCTTTCCGACATCGGCAAGTCAGCTGGCAAATCAGATGATCAGCAGATAAATAACCTGTGGCCTGGCCGCTTTGTTAAAGACAAGATGTATGAGGAAACGAACAAGGAATATTCCACAATAATGCTAATTTTAGTGAAAGATGACTGCGGAAAAGCTACTGTGTGACAGTCGGTATGTTTTTAGATGACACGTTTCACATATCAGGCGAAAAACAGTCTTTAGTCTCTGTCTGCTTTTTACCCATACTGCAGTCTGCATTTTGTACCTGGTCTGCAGTCTGCATTTTGTACTGACTGATTGGGGTAGCATGTGATAATATTGATTCAATTTCTCCCCAGACGCTATTTCATGCTTTGTTTATCCCAGTACCATATTGGACTCTGGAGCACAGCTGGTAGAAACTTATGTTTACAACCATAACACTTCCCTCACATTTCCCCAAATTGTTCCCTTTTCTTTTCCTTTGTCCGCCACGCTGAATTCTTAGGTGGGTTACCACTGTAAACTCATTCCCAGACCCCCTTTCCCTGTTCCCCGTTCCCCGTTCCCAGTTTTAGTAACATCCCATTTATTGTATAAAATTATTTTTACTTGGAAAAAAATGAGAGGGGAAATCAGAACCATATGATTTCTGTAGGCTATGACGCTGTTATTTTCCGTCTCCACAAACTTGTCATGAAAAATACAAAATGTATAGACCTCCTGTGTGATCTTCCATTTTTTTCTGCTTGTGGTAATCAAGTACAGTTGGGAAAACATTTCGTGACTAAATAACAAGACTATAGGTATAACTGCTTGAAATCCAAAGATTTCACTGAAGAAGCGAGCTTGTTTTCATAATGATTCTGTGTGAAGATTGACTATGTAACATTACAGTCACATTATGCAAATTTGGTGGCAAGCATCTCTATATGAAAAGATGACAATGGCTTCAAAACGCATGCTGAACATATGTAAAGGATCGCTGTCATAGTGGCATGTCAATGGCCTTTTAGCGAATGGTAATTTTCTGTTTCAGGAGAAATGGAGATTTCAGTTTCTCGAAAGAAGTCCACAGACCCTATATTTTTGTCGTTCCCCCACCTTTTTCATATCCTGCACAGTGGGTTAATATTTTGCTAAGCTTGCCATCTCAATGAACTCAAGACAAAATAGAGGGTCTGTGGACAGACTAGTTCTGGGTCACTGGGCCTCGGATATTGAATAATTGGGCAATCACGTCAATCAAGAGTTCTCATGATAAACGAAGACATGAATCTTGTGAGTAAGACTGGGAATCAGTTTGGACACAGGAGTTTTCAATACAGTTTTGAAAAAATTCAATGTGAGATATCAAGAAAAGATGAAAGGGAAGCCACATGGTTTTCTGGTGGTTTTTCATGCTTCTCACAACATTCACTCTATAAAATAATGTCATTTGTCTTCAAGTCTCAATTTGGATTTTGGTGAGGCTTATTCTTGTTTGTGGAAGTGCAGGGGCCTGATGGTTAGTGTACTTGTCTGGGTTGTCTGAAAGATGGTTTTGAACTGGCTAACCCAGGATTAAAAGTTATCTGAAGTATCAATTTCTCTTGAATGAAAGTGTTTTGTGTAGTGTGAGATTATTCAAACTCAAAACTAAAGGACAAACAATATAAACAGAATACCTCACCAAAAAGTTACAAATTGAAACTGAAATCAAAACCTTCAAAGGCTGTAGATAGACAGCTGAAAGCTCATGTTTTGAATTCTTTTTTGAATTCTTTTGATTATGTCTCATCCTAGCTGCGCTTCAATCTTTAATAAATGTAGTTAACGATAAAAATACAATTGAAGTGAGTTTTTCTTTTGTGTCAGGAGTGGGTAAGGTGTGAAACGACTGAGGTTTCTTCTATTAAATTTATCGACTATTGGATGCTGCCACACCAGCAAAATGGCTGCACAGTCTTATTTACAAGGCATCAATCAACAATCGATATCCTGATTGGTTGTTTAGATATCCGCATCTAAAGTTGAAGTAGCTAAAATATGCGAGACCTGTTGCGTAAATGGATGCCACGGGAAAAAATATATTGAATATTAAAATTTCTGACACACTTTCAGTCATCATTATCCGTGGAATGTTCTGGCAAAATTTCACAAAAATCTGTCAAATCTGCATACCCTATAAATTCGTTCAAAGTGGATGTACATGTATTCCTCCCAAAATCAAATGCAAGATTTTAGCTCGTAAAGGTTCGTAAACCAGGTCCTCCTAGTGTCAAAAACAATGCATCAGGATTTCCGGGAAAAGCATCACATTGCAACATGTTTTCTATCTCGCTGTCGCATTGAAGAGAAAGGCACTAAAACGGACAAATTAGCCAAAGGAAAAAGAACAAATGCGTAATATAAACAATACCAAAAAACATGAAATACGAGCTCCAAGATGAACATTTGCCATGAAAATTTGTGTGGTGTTCTTCGTCAAGACACTTAACTCTCACAGTACCTCTCTCTACCCCGAGGTGTATAAAATTAATGGATACTGGCATATTTAATGCTGGGAGCTAACCCTGTGATGGACTAGCATCCCATCCAGAGGAAATACTCCTAGTCACTTAATGCTGCAGAAACCGAGATAAGCTCCAGCTGTATGGGCTGCTCACAGTCCTGAAACAGAGTGTACCTTTACCTTATTCATTCCCTAGAGGGTTCGTCCTTTTGGTCGGCAGCCAAATGGGTCATGGCCTGAGGGGATGAGAATTGTTATTGAAGAAGTATCATTGTTCTGCAATTTTATACCTTTTGACAAGTACATGGCATACAGTGTATTCAGTGTTATTAAGTTTTCAGTAGTTCTTACCCAAACCATCACTCAAAATGAATAACTTTATGATATTCATATAACCTTTACATAACTATATGGGCCTTCTTGCCTGCATGTATGAATCATGGTGACACCACTCTAATCATTTCTTTTCAGCTACAAGTATCAAATCTCAAGTGTGTGAAGTTGTACGAGTCATTCAAACAAGTCTTTACCAAATCCATGCCCTGTTTTATTGTGACAATGATAGTGGAGAAAAGGAGTTGCAAGGTCAGCAGCTGTTTTCACGTTACCATATTGACAACTTGACCTCATCCTACATTCATGTTTTATACACAATTGTAGTTTGTTACTAGATGAATTCCAAAAGACAAAGCCTTGTTAGGTCCAGTAGATTTCTCCTTAGAATTAGTTTAATGTGAGATTACCCAACCACATTTTCTTGGAAGGTTTTGTTTTTCATTAAACTGACATAAGAGATTATTTTTCTGACCATTTCTTTACATTTGAGAAATGAATATTCCTGAAAATGTTCCTAAAAAGCCCCAATGGGGAGGTTCAGTAAAGTATGTACTGTATGTATGTAATTTGGTACTGCAGCTGCCTGAAACTTCCAGTCTAACTGGGTGACAATAATAGTTTGAAAAAATTGTTTCATTCTTAATAAGATTTTTGTCAGTAGCAACATATTTTATTTACTGAATTAAGGTTACAGTATACCTTCAGGGGTGTCTCGCGTGCATGCGATGTAGCTCGTGCAGTTTAAGCTGTAGATACCTAAACCCCTATATCAAATTAAAGCTTATGGAGCTGGCTATCAAACTATACCAAGAATTTTGAAAGAAAATGAAT